ATGGTTTACAGATACCATCTTAGATGCCACACGAAGGCTGCGGTCACATGTGCCTTTTGGAGCAGAGGGGATGCGCCCCTATTTCCTCCAGAGGAATTTGACTCAAAGTTGCAAGATCACATATCCCTTTCTGCTGTGGGCTCAGCCTGTCACTGTGTGATCAGATGTCACCTCATGCGAGTAGGGTTTTTTGCCGTTTGTTTCCCATGCGCATAAACAAGGAATCACACCTCTGCACTGAGGGTTCCCCATAGAGTATGTGATTATGCGCATACTGCTAAGGCCACTGAGGATTCTATTAAGTTTGAGAGAAATTATAAATCCAATTACTGATCTCCTATTGTTACAGATCAGCAGTTGCTGTGCTAAATAAGGGTAAGGTATGGTGAAGATCCACTGAACAGGATGTGAACATGGTCATTTATGTACTCATCCCACTAATGCAATGTGATAACCCGTGCTCTTTCTCTATATTGTTACAGATGCAATGTCACTATCGTGTTGGGGCAAATATATATTTGCATATAATTACTTGTGCCAATACAAGTGGTTTCCCGTGGCTGTTGGTTACATTGATCCTTAGCATTTAACATATTCAAAGTACTTCGCCAATGTTCACCAATATTAGAGTTTCACTGGTGGATGTGGAAGATCACATCCCCATACTCTACATTATCTTTCCTTTCAGCTTTTGAACAACAGGAAGAAATCCAGTCAGTATAACCTCCAATAGCCCTGTAAAGTAACTAAATGATACTATCCTCATAGTGGTTGAGGTTAAGAATAAGGAGCCTTACCTAGTAAGTTTGTAACAGAGGAAAGATTTGAATTAGTGACTTCATGGTTTACAGATACCATCTTAGATGCCACACGAAGGCTGCGGTCACATGTGCCTTTTGGAGCAGAGGGGATGCGCCCCTATTTCCTCCAGAGGAATTTGACTCAAAGTTGCAAGATCACATATCCCTTTCTGCTGTGGGCTCAGCCTGTCACTGTGTGATCAGATGTCACCTCATGCGAGTAGGGTTTTTTGCCGTTTGTTTCCCATGCGCATAAACAAGGAATCACACCTCTGCACTGAGGGTTCCCCATAGAGTATGTGATTATGCGCATACTGCTAAGGGGGGGGGAGGCACCAAGTTGGGATGGAATGATCAGACTATCCTGATGGCTTGAGAGTGTGCTTGAGTGGTCAGACAGGGGAAAATACATCTGTGGCCTGTTGGCAAGTGTTAGGACCAGACTTTCCCCAGTGTCTTCTAACTTTCTTTCTGTGGCAGAGCAGCACGGGTGCCAATGACTGTGGGACCTTTCCCAGATGTTGCTGTCTGATTGTGCCCTTTAGACCCATCAGGCATTCACAGCTATGTCAGATCTAAAGGCGCGTGTGACCGCAACCTAATTATCAGGTGTTTGTTGTATGAAATGATTACTACAGTGGACCTGACAGAGGTCATTTCGGGGGGGAACGCAGTTCCCCCGGGTGAGGTGCAGGGGGGCGGGGCACATGACGAAGCCCCGCCCCCTGCTTCCGGCCGCCCTGCTTCCAGCCCTCATTCAGCCAGGAGGAGGCAGGAGAAGAGGGCGGGTAAGTTGCTTCCTCCCCGCCTCTCCCCACCCCTGCCTGCCTGGGGCCAAGGAGGGCCTTGGCGGGGCTTCCTCGCACTCCCGCTGGCCTTGCAGGTCCACCGCCGGGCCCCTGATGTCAGGGTGTGTGGCATATGCTAATGAGTTATGCTAATGAGTTCCCCTAGGTCTTTTTCTACGAAATGACCCCTGGGACCTGATATATAAATGCCCTTACTAACACATTGGTATTAATGACTGGTCATTAGGGTACTCAGGTATTTTAAACATCGTGCATATATACATATACTTGTATGTATATATACACATGGACACACACTCAGAAAACCAAACTTTCCCTGTCTAAGAAAATTGCCATTATTGGGATCTATGCAATCCATGCAATACTTACATTTTGGTATATAAATACATTAAGTGACATTAGACTGAAAGAACTCAGAAAGGTTCTAAAAAGAGTGGCAGTATGCTATATCTACCAACCTAGTACTTTTTTATCCCACCCTTCCTCCAAGGAACTGTGGTTGGTATATATAGCTCTTCCCACCTTAATTTTATCATCGCTAAAACTCTATGATAAAGGCTGGGATGAGAAAGAATAACTGACCAAGGTTAGTCACTGAGATTCATGGGTGTATGACAACTTGAACTTGGATATCCCCTGCCTTCTAGTTCTAGACTACATAACTATTCCACTCCTGCCAACTAGTTATGCTGCTTCCAGACACAATACAAAGTACTGATTTTAAACTTGAGAGTACTAAGTGCTCTGTGTTTGCTTTAGGAGAATGATCTCCCAAATGTACCTGGCCTATTCATGAAGATTCTTGCATGAGGCTATGATCCAAGTCTCCTCTTTGTCAGATTGATAGGGGAAAGGAGCAGAGACTTCTCAGCTGTGTCATATTCTTTATATAGAACTCCCTGCTCTGCGTTGAAAACACAGCTCTGTTTTTAGTTTAAGGAAACCAACCCAAAGGGTTTTACTTTAAGGGACAGTTTCTGCTTCAAGTAACTTTTCCCTTTTATTTGCTCCTGTGATGTGTGTGGGTTTTTTTAGGGGTCTAAGTTTGTACATTCTTGATTTCAATAGCTAAGCAAGTAATGTGTTTGCTTTTGATTGTCTCTTTTTAAAATCTGTAAATAATTCTGAGATCCCAAATAGGGGGAAAGTTCAACTGAATGACATAGGGCTTTCTTGTGTGCAGATCTGCTTAGGATTCCACCCTTAGCATGGTAGAAACTGATTAAACAAAACTAATTTCATTATAACCCTTCCTACAAATGAACATAAGAAGAGCCTCATGGATCAGACCAGCGGTCCATCTAGTCCAGGATCCTGTTCCAGCAAGTTGCCCTAGAAGACAAATAGAGCATAAAGGCCCAGCAAGTTGCCCTCCCCTGCTTCTGCCTGTCAGCACTGGTATTCAAAGATTTCCTCCCTCCAGATATGGGGCTCACTTCAGTAACCAAGTCTAGTAGCTATTGATGGAACTCTTCTTCATTAATCTGTCTAATTTTCTTAGCTATCTAAGCTCATGGCCATCCCATCAGTGAATTCCACAGTTTAATAACTTGTTGAGTAAAGAAGTATCTATTTATTTCCAGTCACTTCATTTGTATGCCACCTATTTCCCCAATGGGCACCCAAATAAATTGAAATTGTTCTCCACTCCTCCATTTCATTCACACAACAACTCTGTGAGGTATGTTAGGCTGAGAGTGTGCAGACAAGGGATTTGCACCTGGGTCTCACAGATCCGACTCTGATATTCTAACTGCTACACAACACTGGTATTTCCTTTTGTCTATTCTGCACCTATTTGACATAAGTTTCATTGCCCCCCCCCATTTCTAGTATTACAGGAGAAGAAAAACCTTCCTTTATCTGCTTACTTTAACCTCCATCTGTCTCCCCATAGCTGTATTTTTTCTAGACTGAAAAGTCCCAGCTTTCCTTATAGGAAAGGTACTCTGGCTCCCTAATAATCTTGGCTGCCCTCTTTGTACTTTTTCTAGTTTTGCAATGTTCTTTTAGAGATACTATGACCAGAACAAAACACTATTCCAAATGAAGCTGCGCCATAGCTTTATACAAGAGAATTAGAATATTGGCTATTTCATTTTTAACTCCTTTCTTAATAATTCCTAGCACGGAGTCTCTCCTTTTCACTGCTGCTACACACTGGGTTGACAATTTCATTGAGCTTTCCACAACCACCCCAAGTTCTCTTCCAGTCTCAGCCTCAAACAGTTCAGGTCCCATCAACATATCTTTAAAATGAGGAATTTTTGTTCCAGTATGTGTCACCTTACACTTACCCACACTGAACTCCATTTGTCACGTGGTTACTGAATGCCCTCTCACCCAATTTAGAGAGATCCTCCTGTAGCTCGTCATAATCTGCCTTGGTTTTCACCATTCTGTATAATTTGGTGTCATCTGCAAACCTGGCTATTACACCGTTCAGCCCAAATTTCAAATGACTTATGAATAAATTAAATAGCACCTGTCGCAATACCAATCCTTGTGGGACCCTGCTGCTCACATCCTTCCATTGTGAGAACTCTCCATTTATTCCTACTCTCCGCTTCCTGCCATTTAACCAACTTTTAACACATAAGAGAAAACATCCTCTTATCCTATGACTGCTAAGCTTACTCAGGATTCTCTGCTGAGGTACCTTGTCAAAAGCCTTTTGAAAGTACGAGACAGCCCTCATCCACATGCCTGTTAACCTCCTCCTCAAAGAACTCCAAGAACTTGGCAAGGCAGGAGGTTCCTTTGCAGAAGTCATATCGCAGAAGCCATGGAAGCTCACTGGGTGACCTTGGGCCACTCGTGCACTTTCAGCCTAATCTGCCTCGCAGGGTTATTGTGAGGATAAAATGGAGGAGAAGAGAATGATGTAAGCTACTTTGGGTTCCCATTGGAGAGAAAAGCGGGATATAAATGACGTAAATAAATAAAATAATTTCTCTTCCATCTCCCCCTCTTCCTTATGTTTCATAAGAAACATAACGAGCTTACTCTTCAACTCCAAAAATGATAAGTAAAGCCACTTGTAGCACCTGCGGCTTATAATGATTAACTTGTCTGTAGTCAGATAAACAAATAGCATGCACCTGTATAGATGATTTCCTAAAGGTAAAACAACTGCTTGCGAATGATCATGCTGGCAAAACAGCTGCCTGCATTCTGGAGAGCAAACAAGGTAGAATCTTTGACAACTGCCAACTCTGGCGTTTTATCAGTGCTATCTCATTAGCTGAAAACAAGGCTTAAATGCTTTGTTTATAAATTATGATTATTTCTGATTGCAGCAGTTACTGATAGTGCCACTCATTTGCAATGCAACTCTTTGAATTTGTTTAATTACAATTTGAAACAAGGCAGAGAAGATTAATTAACCCACCTGGCTGGCTGGCACATACTCCTGGCTTGGCTCTGTCATACTCATATACATGTTCTCACCGTCAAACTGTAAATGAAAGAAATATTGTTTTCTTTAAAAAGGAACCAGCAAGGTTTAATATTTTTAGAATCAAATGACAAACAGTAGCTGTTAGAAAACAAAAAACCAAAACCCTCACTATAGACTGAACTGAAAAACATGCAATTGTGCATGTGCATCTTGTCTTTGATGTTCTTGTTGTCATCCACCTTATTGACCCTGGATGTCAGTGATTAGGAGTAATTAGTGCTCTAGTAATTACAGCAAGCAATGAATGGTTTCCTTTCAGCTGCAATCTGTTTTAAAACAAAATGGCTCATTTTGTGCACCATGTATACATATTGCTGTTGGTGATAACAAAGTGCTAAGTAATTTTTTTCATAAGAGGGGAATAATAGAAAAAATAGTGAAATGCCTCTTAATAAAGTTTAAGTTTCAGTTGTCATAAAGAATGATTTTAAAAGCAATTCAATCCTATCTTATTGAAACAACCATTTAGAAAATAAGGAAAGGTACCAGATGTTTGAAAAGACAAAATGTATTAGTAAAAGTTCAAAGATGCATAAGATAATACTTTGCTTGATGGGCTAAAACTAATTTACTCTCTATCATGATTGAAATTACCATTCCTGGAAAACTGAAAAAAAAAATGCATAATATCCTTGCTTAAATACATCTTTGTGAGTAGGGTTGTCAGATGGTTTTGACAAAAATACTGGACACACTTGATCAAAATTTGTCAACAAAATTTGTCCTGATCATCCTATGGTCTTCAGAGGACAAATACAAAAATGTAACTATATATTTAAGTGCTGCACATGTTCTGCACATGTTTTAAGTGCTGCACATGTTTTGTTTCTCATACTCTTTCAACTCACCCCTCCTTCAGCTTTATTTGACTTTTGGGGGACAAAATGCAGCACCAACTTCTGTCCAGAGATCTTTGCACATAGCATGCACAGAAAACTAGCATGCCAGGGGGAAAAAACTAAGCTGATATCAGCTCCTTGACATCAAGTTTTCTATGTGCAGAAGATTTTATTTGTTCAATTTTATTTATTTGCTGCATTTTCCCTCCTAATGGGGGCCCAAAGTGTCATACACCATTCTCTCATCCTCCATTTTATTCTCACACCAACCCTATGAGATAGGTTAGGCTGAGATTGTGTGATTGGCCCAAGGTCACTCAGCAAGTTTCCATGACATCTGAAACTGGGTATCCCAAATTCTAATCCTATACCCTAACCACTACACCACACTGGCTCTCTTTATTTTTGGTTCTTTTTGAATATAAATTTGAATCTGAAAGTGGTTATATAAAAGCCCATAAAGGCCTTCAGAGCTCACTCTTGGAACTCATTCGGGCTGACATTGGAGGTGGGATCTGAAGGCATTTAAATGCCTTTTTTGGCTCACTTCCAGGTGGGGCTGCAGCCCCACAAACTTCCCGAGGCATGAACTGGTTCGTGCGATGGAGAAGTTCAGGGTTTGAGGTTCATGAAAACACCAAACCATGAACCTCCACTTTTCCAGTTCATGCCCACCCCTAGTTAAAATACATTAGATAGTACTACATAAGGTGAATACGAAATCATTGAAAAATAAACTGATAAATATCAGTAAATGGTTTTATCTAGCTTTTGGTCACGGTGATTTTAGTTTTTTTATATAGTTTTTCAGGGGTCATTTCGTAGAAGCGATGGAGAAGTTCAGGGTTTGAGGTTCATGAAAACACCAAACCATGAACCTCCACTTTTCCAGTTCATGCCCACCCCTAGTTAAAATACATTAGATAGTACTACATAAGGTGAATACGAAATCATTGAAAAATAAACTGATAAATATCAGTAAATGGTTTTATCTAGCTTTTGGTCACGGTGATTTCAGTTTTTTGATATAGTTTTTTTGATATATTTGCAAGACACCATGGTCCCATCTTGTATCTCTATTAGCAATGGAGAACAAGAAGGGGTATTGCCACTTTATCATGCCAAAGGGGAAAGAAAGAGTGCATGCATGAGCTTGACCATGGTGATTGTGGACTTAATTAGAAAATACTGGACATTTATATGTCAATTCACTGGACTGTCCAGTTCAAAACTGGACACCTGGCAACCATATCTGTGGAGGAAATTAATGGCATGAACACTATGCAATTAAAAATACAGAGGGTTGGGTCTAACCAGCTTTTCCACTGGTGAAAAAGGAGACGGGTCCTCCTATGACCACCAAAACAGGCTATGCTGGGGATCATGGGACTTGCATGGGCAAAAGCCATGTGAGTTGGAATCTGCAGTAGAGATGGGAACTTGGTGACACCAAGTAAGAAAGCTGGCTAAATCCAACCCAGAAGAGCATTATCTGTTTATCTGATATCACAAACTATATAACTAACCAGAGGCATCCTCAGTCTCCTATAACATCATTATTATCTGCTGCTCAATGAAAGCTAATTTATAATATCAGCTGGGAAGCATAGGATTAAATTGGTGTGGAGTTAGTTGAGATTTGGTTGAGATCTTCTTGGATTCCATATCCACTACAATTCCTGACTCAGGACTAGATCAGAAATGTGAAGAAGATCAATGAATGGGTCCTAGCATTTATAAGGAAAAATAGTAGCATTGCAGAACACCAGATCATGGACACAGAACAAATGGAAAGGCCATTTTCACCAGCTCATGCTGACAAACATGGCCCAGGATACTATTAATACTGGAAAGCACCTGTAGTTTTAACAAATGAATGCTCGGTCAGTGGCCATTATGGAGGCTGCTAAGCAACCACAACAGTATTGCCAGCTGCTTGCTACTGTTCAACAACAGCCACCCCCACAAAAACCAGTGTGGCATAGTGTTTACAATTTCAGACTAAGATCTAGGAGATCCAGGTTCAAATCTATACTCTGCTGTGAAAGAGCACCTTGGGCAACTCACACATTTTCAGCCTAACCAACTCAGAGGATTATTGTGAGGATAAAATGGAAGAGTAAAGAATTATGTAATCTGCTTTGGACCCCCAGGAAGAAAGGCAGGGTATAAATGAAATAAATAAATAATATAGTTGTCAATAAGGGGCAGATAAGAGGTAAGGTGGCCAGTGAGTGGTTAGGAGAGAAGGCAGCAGGGAAAAGTCAGGATATGGGGAGTGCCCAGTGGAAGAAAAGATAGGGTTGCCAAGTCCTTTATACTCACCGGCGGGGGACTGTCCCTTGGCTCCGGGAGTTGCTGCGGGACGTGCGCGCGCCGCCTGCACATCACAGGAAGTGAAGCATGACGTAGAGCACGTTGGGGGCATGGCCCCGATCGGCAGAAAGTAAACCATAGATTTTTTCCTCTGCCGATCGGGGCCCAATTTCGCGGTGGCGGAAATCGGGCCTCCAAAGCGGGGGTTTACCCGCCACCCACCCCCACTTGGCAGCCCTAAGAAAAGATGAAATAGTGTGGGGAGGGGATCTACCATGCAACTTGGCCAGAGTTTTCCCATGCAAATCTGCTAGGAAAGCTTGAACATAGGGGGGCAGATACAAGTAGGCCAGCTGGTGGGTGAGAAGGAAGCAGCAAAAGGGGAAAGGCAATGGGATCTTTCAGAAAAAGTAAAGAGGAAACAGTGTGGAAGGCAAAAATGAGAAGACTGCTGTAAGTCCTTGTGGATTCCCTACTCGTATGATTTATTTTTTAAAATAGTATCAAATGTCATCAAATAGCATGCATAAGTTTTTTCTACTCAATACACAGTGCTCCATTCTTACTGCAGTTACATGAGTGTCTTCTTGAGAAGACAATTATAAGGACTTCTTAAGATCAGATAGTGCTTAACTAGAGTGTGTTCAATCATCTTGGAATTGCAAAACCTTAGTTCTAAGCATCATCTCCTTTTTGATATGTAAAATTATAAAAACTAATGTAAATTTCTCTGGTTTATCCCATTAACATTTAGCACAACATTTACTTATTTAAATATTTTAAACTGTGTTTCTCATGAAAAAGGGACTAATTTTGTATCAATAAATGGTATAATATTAATAAAGAAAAAACCCCAAAAGAATCATCCATGACAACAGTGAAAACAAGGCAAATCAAATGACAACACAGAGGATGAAAAACAAATTCAAGTATCTATAGTGACTAAAATACAGAAAATCCTCCACTACTTTGCAGCAGTCCTATGCAGTCATCACAAGAGAAGACAGGCTGGCTCTAGACAGAGATTCTTTACAGATGCATGAATGTGATGATGCAGAACTGCCACAGAAACATTTCCAAATACAAATGCAAAAGTGAATTTGTGTATTCAATACTATTCATTATCCACTTAATCCATTACATCTATCGAGGTAGGATGCCAATTCCACTGAAAACATGTACATAATTAGCCCTAGTTTTGCAGGACTGTAGCACTGCACAAACCTGAAGGGAAAAACTCATATACAAGTACCTCACCAGTGCCAGTATAACATTTTTGTCCTCCCAGTTGAAATAAAGAGACAGATGCCGATTTGGATTTAAACAGGATCAGTTTATTTATAAACTGTTTGGTAAATGGAATACCATTAGTGAAATGGGGGGGGGTAAGGGACAGGGCAGGTGTTACCCTCTGACCACCTCCTAGCCCTCCATTGGGCAAGTCACCTGCCCTAATCTTTATGGCACTCGACCTTGTGGCTCTCGACCAGCAGCCTGGCACGTTGTCAGTGACCCTGGAAAACCACCACCAAAGCCGCATGGCCTGCGGGGATGAGCTTAACCAGGTAGCTCCAACGAGAGATCCCCATTTCCAGCCCTGAGCCACAAGGCCTGAAGGCAATTCCTGTGGACCCCTTATTTCCAAACAGAAATGTGCCAGGTACTCAACAACTTGATTTTTCTCTCCACACTACAATGAAAGTGACCAACCTACTTAATGGCAACCACCATAGCCAATTATTCCAAGTCCACTGTCCTCAATGCAAGGTAGGCGAAAAACCACCTCTCAAAGAACCAATCACAAGAAGAGATGAAAAATTCCTACCTGGCCCCAAAAGGTGACCGGTATAAGCCTGCACTAGAAACA